TTTAAGTTTTAATGTATTTATCAAAAGCACAAAAAAGGTTTTACTTTGTTGCATAAAAGCACACACACACACACACACACACACACACACACACGAACTCTTTGATAAATGTTTTTAAGCAAAGCAATGTGACTAAGTCAGATCTAATAAACTCCTCACTAATTTTACCTCAAAATGTGGCTGGCAATGAACTTATGCCAGGAGTTGGAGAAATGTCAGTTCAGCCATTTTTTTAATGCTCATTTAGGTTCACTACACTTAGCACAGTCTATAATCAGAGGTTTCTTTATGGGACTCTCTAAAAGCCACATATCCAATGTGAAATCTCATTAGTTAAGTAGTATAATCAATAAACCTACTTAACCAGGCTTATGAAAAATGAAAATACTTACAATAGGCTGAAAACGAGCAGAGGCATGAAGGAGCCACTGCTACTCCCTTAAAAGGACACAAGACATCCTCAATATTTCCCAACTATAGACTATGTGGTCAGCTGATTCAGGGATCAAATGAAGATATCTGTGCCAACCTACATCATACGTATTAATAAAAATGATATTTTATATCCAGAGATTGAAAATAAAATTAAGTGAGCTTTCTAAAGAGTCATCAGACATGTACTCTCTGGACAATGACAAAGCCTCTGACAGTTATACAAAGTACCGTATGAACAATATATGGTTATTTACTTAGTCTGTATATGTATTTACTTTTGTACACCAAGGGATGTTAAAATACATAAACATGAAACAATATTTAAATGCTCACATTTCAATGTATTTGTGAATATATGGAAAAGTTCATTTTGCTACCTAAAAATATATGCACACATAAAAACTGTGAAATGTTTTTAAGCAAAGCAGTGATCAACTAAGTCAGTGAAATAAATACATCCTCATAGATCTTACCTTGACTCTCAATCAGCCATCTCTGGCCTCCCCAGCAAATTTCTCAACACTCTCTCCCTGTTTTTCACAGCCTTGATTTGGTTTCACTATATTGCTCACCATGCCTAAAATAGTCTCTCACACCTGTGTGTGCTTCTGCTGTGAAGATGCTGTCAGATAACTGAAGTGGAAGTACTAGTACATAATAGGAGCCTTTAGTAAACTCTTGTCGAATCTTACCACAGGTAGTTAAGTCAGATCAATAGTTCTGCAATTTAGCCTGCCTTTAAACCAGTTGGAAGACTTCTTCAACATAGATTGTTGGGCCCAAATTCCAGCATTTTATAATAGCAGATTCAGAAAGTCACAGGCTCACATAAGAATATGCATTTCTATAAGAATAGACACCTGAAGAAATTCTCAACTTTTCTAGCCATAAAAGAAACAAATCAAAACAACAGTGAGATTCTACCTCACCCCAGTTAGAATGACTATAATCAAGAAATCTAATAACAGATGGTGGAGGGGTTGTGGCCAAAGGGGAACCCTACTGCATTGTTGGTGGGAGTGTAAACTTGTTCAACAACTTTGGAAAGCAGTATGGAGGTTCCTCAAAAGACTACACATAGAGCTCCCCCATGACCCAGCAATCCCACTTTTGGGCATTTGCCCAAATTATCACAAACAAGGCCATACTAAAACTACCAGCACAACTGTTTATTGCAACATTATTCACCATAGCTAAGATATGGAACCAACCCAGATGCAACTCAGTAGATGAATGGATCAAGAAAATGTGGTATATATATATATATATATATATATATATATATATATATATATATATATATATATATACACATACATACATACATAATAGACCTCTATGACTCCATCAGAAAGAATGACACAGCCCCATTTGTTAGGAAATGGAAAAACTTGGAAAAAATTATATTAAGTGAAGTAAGCCAGACCCAAAGAAATATAGGTCCCATGGTTTCCCTTATTTGCAATAATTAGTATATGTCTAGAATAATCTTACCAGACAAGCAGAAAAGGTCAAAAGCTATGCACATATGACCATATAAGATGATGATAAGCAAAATGAACCCCAAGATAGGGACACAAGAGATTTTATCTTTGTCGCTGTTGTTTTTAATGTACTATGTGATTTTTTTGTTTCTTTTATGTGCTCTTCCCCCATGGTATAACCCCTGTTTTCACTGTATTTGATTCCAGTGTCCTGCATCTTGTATATACATTATTCTAATATGAGAAGGGGAAGGGAAACTTTACAACTTGGTAGGGGGAGAAAGATGTTGGGGAGGTGGGGAGGGAAGGCAGGGGAAAAACAAAGGAGGGGGTAAAAATGCTCGATAGGAAATGTACTCATTACCTTACTTATGTAACTGCAACCCCTCTATACAGTATCTTCAGTATCTTTACAATAATATATATGAAGAATATGCATTTTTATATATATATATATATATATATATATATATATATAAAGAATATGCATTTCTAGCAAATCCTCAAATGTTGCTAATGTAGTCAGGTATGGAGACCACAAAAGTACATACACTCTATAGTTTTTCCAATTTCAAACTATTTTTGATACCTCAGTGCTTTTAATAGAGAACTAAATGAACATTAATCTCTATAAATTAATGTCCCACTTATCATAAATGGAAATATAAGATCCATAAGCTTTGCATAGAGAAAATAGCACATTATTTAGAATCAGAAGATGAGTCCAAATTTCACTCTATAGCTGTGTGGTTTATCTAAGATAAATTAATTGCTACGTTATATTCTTCTGTAAAATTAGGATGTATTAAAAGACTAACTCTCTCATATATTAGTTTTTTTTGTGGGGGGTCCGGTCATAGGGCCTGAACTCTGGGCCTGGGTGCTGTCCCTCAGCTCTTCAGCTCAAGGCTAGTGCTCTACCACTTGAGCCACAGTGCCACTTCTGGCTTTTTTCTTTTTGCTTATGTGGTGCTGAGGAATCGAACCCAGGGCCTCAGGCATGCAAGGCAAGCACTCTACCACTGAGCCACCTTCCTAGCCCCTCTCTCATATGTTAAACATGAGATAATAGTAATACAAGAAATAATTTGTAAAAAGTACTATATATGAGCTGTTCCAATAATATATTTATTTAATAAGTATAATCAACAGATAAGCAAGACATGGTTCAAACTTTCACAAATTTTGTTTTGTTTTGTTTTGAGATGGGTTTTGCCATGTAGCACAGGCTGGTCTTGACTTCTTAATCCTGCTATTTTGGCTTTCCAAGTGCTGAGACCACAGACACTCAGATACCTGGCACAAATTTCCAAAATTTTCAGTTCAGTGATAAATCTATAATGTTTATGTTCCTTTATCTTCTGAAATCTGTGCATATTTGAATAGTACCATTGCTAGATAATACCTAATAGTTGTGTGGCTGAGACAGTTTCCAGTGATCTTTTCTTCCCAGTATTCATACCTGTGCTTAGTTGCCTCCCAAGAGAATACTCTAAGGCTACATAAGCGACACTGCGATTTCTTCTTTGGTTTCTTAGATCTCTCACTCTGGGGAAAACCAGCTGTCATGAAATAAAGGCACTTAAACAGCTCTGTAAAGATACTAAGAGGATCAAATGGAAAGTAAGGCCTCTGCCAACAGCCAGCATCAGACATGTGAGTAAGCCACTTTTGAAGTAGATCCTCTGGTTCCAGTCAATCCTTCAGATTACTACAGCCCAAGCCAACATTTGGCTGCATATCATGGGCCTCAAATCATTCCTAAATGTTAGACCCACAGAAACTATAAGATAATAACAATAGGAGTTATTATCTCTTCTACTATTATTATTTTGCCAGTCCTGGAGCTTGAACTCAGGGCCTGGGCACTATCCCTGAGCTTCTTTTGCTCAAGGCTAGCACTCTACCACTTCAGCCACAGCACCACTTCTGGCTTTTTCTGTTTATATAGTACTGAAGAATCGAATCCAGGGCTTCATGCATGCTAGGCAAGCACTCTACTACTACGCCACATTCCAAGACTCAACTATTTTTATTTTATATCGAAGTTTTTTATTTTTGTTTTGTTTTGTTTTGCTAATAGGCCTCCTACTCATTTGGCTTGCCTGCTTATGACTAATGCTCTACCACTTGAGCAATGCCTCCAACCTAACTTTTTGCTAGATATTTTGGAGGTAGAGTCTCTTAGGCTTTTCTGCCAAGGATGGCCTCAAATTGATTCTCTGGATTGTAGTCTTCTGAGTAGCTAGGATTACAGGCATGAGTCATTGGTTGGTGCCTGGTACCACCAAGTTTTTAAGTAATTGTTATACAACAATAGAAAACCTATCCTGTATCCAATATTTACTGTGCATCTATTTATCATATTTCAGGAACTATGCTAAGTACCCCAAAGTTCTATGATATATATATGCCACTATAATCCTCAAAGAATAAAGAGTGGTCCAGAGAGATTAAGTAATTTAGTCAAGTTTCAATGGCTAATAAAGTGGTAGAAGTAGAATTTGAGCCAGGCACTGGTGGCTCATGCCTGTAATCCTAGCTATTCAGGAGGCTGAGATCTGAGGATTACAATTTGAAGCGAGCCCAGATGAAAGTCTATGAGATTTTCATCTCCAATCAACCAGCAAAAAAAGCTGTGGCTCAAGTGGTAGAGTACTAGCCTTGAGTAGAAAAAGCTGAAGGACATGTACAGACCCTGAGTTCAAGCCCCAGGACTGGTACCAAAAAAACAAAAACAAACAAGTAGAATTTGAACCCAGCTCTGTAACTCTAAAGCTCAGTTTCTTGTTTAGTCATTTCTACAAGCCAAGATAAAGCCTCTTTGAGAGACAAGCAGAAGAAGCAACTGAACCTCCAGAGGAGAACAAATTTACATAAAACCAGCGTGGGGACAGCCCAGGGGCCATACCTAAAAACATCATTAATAGTTGATATTATCAAGCCTAGAAGCTCCACTTTTGCCCTGTCTTCTACCCCTTATAGCAGCAGACTAGTTGTCTCTCAAAATATCCTACACACAAAAAAAAAAAAGAAAAGAAAAGAAAATATCCTACACAAGATGCCCAGCCCAGGACTCACCCAAATCTGCAGCTTCACTCGCTTCTCATGGCGGTATACTGTCTTCACCTTAAAGTCGATGCCCACAGTGCTGACAAAGGCAGGGGTGAAGGTATCATCAGCATAGCGGAAGAGGAAGGAGGTCTTGCCAACACTGCTGTTACCAATGATGAGCAGTTTGAACATATAGTCAAAATTCTGGTCAGAGGCATCTTTGATTCCAGTTTTACTATCGGTCACTGAGGCCATCTGCAAAAGAGATCTCTATGGTCATTCCAGAACATACTTCCAGGATGACTTTGAGTCACTAATATTCTCATGGCCACCTGACATTTACATACTTACTCCTCACATCAACATCACAGAGAAAATATATGCCACTCAGAATCACCCTACCACTGCACCAACCACAAATGTTGCTTAGGATTGGGGTGGAATCTAGGTCCTCCCACTCATTTCCTCAACAAATATTTGCGGAACACATTGCTCTGGTGCAAGCCCTGAGTTGATCATGAAAGTACAAATATGAATCAGACATAAGTGTCTATCAAGAATAAAAGAACAGGGAAGCAAAAGTAATAAAATAGAAGGCAAATGATGAGACAGGGAGGCCCTGGTTAGAAGAAGCTTCTAACCCACCTTGAAGACATGGTTTTCAAGGAAAATCTCCTGTAGGAAGAAGAGCTATCATTCCCCGTTTAGAAATTTTCATGAGGCCTGGCACTGATGGCTCCTGACTATAAACTGTAATCCTACCTACTCAGGAGGCTGAGATATGAGGATCCCAGTTCTAAGCCAGCCAGTGAAGACTAATTTAAGAAGTTTTTATCTCCAACAAACCATCAAAAAGCTGGAAGTAGAAGTGTGGCTTGTGGGGTAGGTCATCAACATTGAGAGAAAAAGCTAACAGAAAGCACCCAAGCTCTGAGTTCAAGCCCTGGTACCACACGCACATACAAAAACAACAACAACAAAACCCAAACAACTTCTGTGGCTGTCCATAGCTCTAAAGATCAAGCCCAAACCATCCAGGTTAACAGAGAACTAATACACCAAAGAACCAATTCTCGAAGCTCTTTCCCTTACCAACATGTGCTACTTTTTTTTTTCTTTTTCTGGGTGGAGGGGAATAGAGGGGGAAGTTGTGGGGCTTGAACACTGAGCCTGGGCAGTATCCCTGAGCTCTTCAGCTCAAGGCGCTATATCACTTGCGCCATAGCACCACTTCTGATTTTCTGGTGGTTAATTGGAGACAAGAGTCTCATGGACATTCCTGATGGGGCTAGCTTTGAACCATGATCCTCAGATCTCAGCCTCCTGAGTAGCTAGGATTACAGATATGAGCCCTTGGCAACCAGCATATATGTGTTACTTTTATATAAAATATTTATATCAAATATCAACTTTTTCAAATTTATATCAAATTATTATTTATTCCAAATACACTGTACTATTTTGTTTTTGTTCTTTATATATGTATTTCCTCTGCCTACATGCTATTCCCACTTCCAAATAAACTCCTATTCATCCTTTTAGGTCCAGGTCAAGTGCATCTTTCTTCCCTGTGCATGCACACCTAATGGTACATTCCCAGAACACTCAAATGGCACTTGTGTCATTTCAGAGCTGTTTACTATTCTGGCTCCTCTTTTACACTGAGCAGCTGGGACTTAATGCACTCCATTTCTGCATGCCTGGCTTCTAGCACAAATCCAAGTGCATAATAACACTCGGTAAATGTGTACTGAATTAATGAAAGTCACTTCATCACTCTGGACCCCCAATCTCCACAACTGGAATGTGGAGCTGATGTACTTCATTTCTGTAGTTAGATCTTATTCAACTGTCCTCTCTTGCAGTGAGACTCCATTATTTGCATCTATTTGACAATGGATTAACTGCTTCCCCTTCTGGAGTCAGGGAAGTTTGAACCAAGAAAACCTGCCAACACTGGACCCAGGGCATATTTTCCATAAGCACTTATCAGACATTTTCTATGTATTATACTACTGATGTAAATGCCATATTACTAGTTTTCATTTCTAAAATAATATAGCTAGTTTTACACTCTAGATAATATACCTAATTTTACACTCTTAGAAGAATTTTGAAGTAACACACGTAACATGATAACCAAAGGCCAGGTTACTGGTCCTCGCTTTCCCAATAATTCAATATATGAATTAGGACAAATCACTGAAGTTTAAGTTTCCTCATCTGATGCCACTACATACTTCATGAGGCTGCTGTGAATTTTAACTAAAAGAATGATTATGTATGTGCTTCTTTCACTGTGCTGAAAAAAAAAATACACTTGTACATGTGTAAAATTGGCTATGCTACCCTGAATGTGAGAGTGGGGAATGACGGGTCCCATTCCTGCTGTGATCAGCCCCTCTTCATTTTATAAGTAAGAAAAAAATGAAGCTTCACGTTGTGTGCAAGGATTTGCACACAAGTCAGTTCAGGACTAGAATTTCTGTGATCTAATGTCTCCCAGATTTGACCAGTTTTAGGATAAGTAAAGAAGAATTCCCAATAGAGCACCTAGTTACCACACTGTACTTGCCTTACTATACAGTCAACAGCTGCTTATGTGGACACAACATGGCTTTCCTGATACGTGGTGTGAAACCAGGGACAGGCAGAGAGAGGAGAAGGGTTAAGATGGAAACACCCTAGGGGTTCTTCAGGGGGAGGAGGGGTAACAGACATCTGGAAGAGGAAAAAAGCATCCCAGCAGGCAGCTGCCTGAGGCAGATCTGAGCAGACTGGTCACTGCACAGTGGTGCGTGCAGAACTGCATTTGTAAGATAAGCATCGATCAAATCTTCCCTCTCTTTTGTGACAGCCGCATAAAATGATAAAACTGGGTAGCTCACTGTGCCCGTGAGGAGAAATACAGATGAATGCGCAAGAACCATCTGGGAAGTCATCCCTAGTTCCAGGCTGAGGAAAGGAAAGAAATGGCCCCTCACAGGTTGCTGTGAAAAATAAAAAACCCTTTATATCTCAAAGGGGGCAGAAATAAGCACCTGAGGAAGAAGCAATCTTCAGCTAGGAAAAAGAGCCTTAAAACCTAGCAAGAAAAGATGAACATAGTAAGTGTAGTGAAGAAGATAATAGATGTACTTCAAAGGTTAAGGGCAAGATTGAATGCAAGAGACTTGAATCCAAGAGACTTGAATCCTGGCTCATTTCTTAATGTGTATGTAATCACAGGCAAATCCTACCCTTGACTTCAGTCTCCTCATCTATGAAATGAGTGAATAAAATGGCTTCCTGTGCCTGCGCCATTGGCTCACACCTGTAATCCTAGCTATTCAGGAGGATGAGATCTGAGGATCACAGCTCAAAGCCAGTTTGGATAGGAAAGTCCATGAGGTTCTTATCTCCAATTAACCACCAAAAAATCAGAAGTGGTGTTGTGGCTCAAGTGGTAGAATGCTTGCCTTGAGCTGAAAAGCTCAGGGACAGCACCCAGGCCCAGAGTTCAAGCCCTATGACCGACCCTCCCCCCCAACAACCACCACCACCAAAGCCCCGCCAAAAAAAAATGGCTTCCTGGAAAAACTGTTAAAATCAGTGGTTGAGAGTGCTTTATAAACCTCTTCAATTTTTCTTTTGCCTATATGTTTCATGTTTTTTATTAGAAAGTCATCCTGAGTAATGGAAATAATTTAGGGTTCCAAATCAAACAAACTAGATTCAGTTTCCAGCCCTATGGTTTATTAGCTATGAGACTGGGACAAAATATAAAATGACTAAGACACAGTTTCCTCCTTGGTAAAACAACCATTGTTAGAAAGATTGTAAGTCATGTAAGTAATGCATTTAGCATAGTATATGGAATATAGCAGGGACTCAATAAATGAAACTGTCCTCTTTCAAGGAGTATTTCTCAGTGGAGATAAGGAGGGAGTGGGGCAAATGTGGACTTTACTTTGCAATATGCTCTTCCTCTAAAAGTCGTACTTTAACTAATTTTACATTTCATCTTTCTTTAGATGATTCCACACTACCAACCCACTACTACCAGCCAAGCCCAGCACTCCTCACTGTTTTCCCAAGACTCATAGAACCACAGAAATAGTATCATAATAGCTACCATCTACTGAGCAACTATGAAATGTATCCTGCTAGTTGCTTTGGAAACATTTGGTCCTAAACACAAGGAAGACTTGGTAAAAGCCATTTTGTTCCTTCTTCAGATTGGAAGTAGATAGACATGAGTGCAACTAATAACAACATGGAGGCACACCTACATAAAAGCATCAGTAACATCTATTTTGCAGGGTTTTACACAGCTGCACACCTACTATGTACCAGGCCTTGTGTCTACTCTGGAAAGATGAAGTGGAATCCTAATGGGCTCCAAGCTTAAAGAGGAAAACATGCTGGGTGCCAGGGGCTCATGCCTATAAATTCTATCTACTCAGGAAGATGAGATCTGAAGATTGAGGTACAAAGCCAGCCAGAGCCAGGAAATCCATGAGATACGTATCTCCAACTAACCACCAAAAAAAAAGCCAAAAGTAGAGCTGTGGCTCAAGTGGTAGAGTACTAGAGCCTTGGGCTAAAAAGCTCAGAAACAGTGCGTAGGCCCTGAGTTCAAGCTGCATGATGGGCACACACACACACACACACACACACACACACACACACACACACACAGGAAAACAATGTAAACATTCTATGTTACTGTTTTCCTTTATCACAATCCTTAAGAAACTAGAGATTTACTTTTTGGACTGGAGATTCTTTTAGATTGTTGTCTTTCTTCATATTGTTTCCTCTGATGAAAACACACTGACTCCACAACTAGCTAAATTCTCATTGCCAAGGACCACCACTGTCAGACCTACCTGCCTTCCCATATCACTTCTCTTCTGGGCTTCCTACCACTACAAACAGTGCCTTTCACCACTTCCACTGTCTTCCTCTGTTTATGGGCCCAAAACAGGTGTGCATCCACCTGCGCATACACACATCCATTCTTTTTACAGTCATCCATCCCTTTCCATCTGGATCCTAGAAAAGGGGGATGGAGAAGCACACCTTTATTAGCTTTCAGAAACTGCCACTTTATTCTCCCCCAAATCCTTTCCATCTTGAGCATCTAAAGCAGAGTCCACCTGAGGATGAATTTTCCAGTCCACTGTTCTCTTCTTTGGTGATCCAGATGGTGGTATAATTGGGTCCAGTCCCCGCTCCTCCTCCCTCAGACTCTGGAGAAGCCAGAGTCTAGTGTTCACTCTGACCCCCATGTTGTCTTCCCTCACCCCCTCACACACATACACACACCTCACACCTTCACACATATCACACACATCACACTCCATACTTGACCTCATCCTCAACCTGACCCAGCTTCGAACTCTCCAAGTTCAAGGTTGCTCCACTTTGAGCCACCAGACCTAGCTCTAGTCCATTGCCTTCTCCCCACTCCTGACCAGAACCTAGGTGTCACCTGTCCACAACCACTGCCCTTCCTCTGTCCCTTCCCAGCTCTCCCTCCTTATTTTCCACCCTGGCCCCTCCAAGCCCCTCCCCTCGCCCTCCAGCGCACCCAGACTCCTTCTCAGGCACCAGCTGCTCTCTGCCCCACACGCTTTCCGTTCCACAGCGGTCCACACTCGCGTCCCCGCCGCCCTCCCTGGACCCTCTCTCCGACCAGACGGCCCCCCTCCTGCCCAGCGCCCTTCACCTCTCAGCACCTCGCTCCCCTCGGCTCAAAGACCCCTTCCGACCCAGCCCCCACCCGAGGCTCCGCACCTCCACGCCCCCCCTCGCCTTCGCCCCCCTTAATCCTCCCGGCACCCCCTTCCCCGCCCCTGGCCGCCTGGCACCCCTTCCCAGCGACCCCTCCCTGCCTCCGGCGCCGCTCTTGTTACCCCCAGCCTGGCACCGCTTTCTTGCTCCTGCTTGGGCTGCACCCCAAGCTCTTCGGAGCTCCCTCAGCGGACCCCCCCACACACACACACCTTCCGGGGAGACGCCCCCAGCCCAGGCCACGCTCCCTCCGCCGCGGGGTCTCTCCCTAGCGGGCGCCCCCAACCCCTGCTCCGGTCCCCTCGGCTGCCGGGCGCCGCCTCGCAACCCTCACAGGCGGGAGGGCGAGCGGGGGCCGGGGCCGCGCCCCTTACCTCGGACTCCGAGTGCAGGACTGCGGGGCTCGCTCGCCGAGGGGTCGCACCTGGCGGCGGGAGAACGCTGCCGGCTTCGGGGATCCGGACGAGGAGGGGTGCAGCGGAGCGGGGGTGAGTCGGGTCCGCACCTCAGGCGACCGCGGGCTAAGGCTAAGGCTCCCGCTGGATTCGGCTCCCGCGGCGACCAGGCCCCGCCCAGGCCCCGCCCGTGGGCGGAGCCCTGATGGACACGCCCCCTCCGGCTGCAGGCAGGTGCCAGGAATAAATCCACGGTACTTTGGGAACTCCCACCACTCACCCCATATTTGGGTGATTGTTGTAACTTCCCTTAATCCTTGCCCCCAGGTACCATAGTGGGTGATGGGAGTGCTTTGACGATATTGTAGATGATGATGGGTACAGAGCTTTGCCATTTCCAAAGTGCTTCACTGTGGGTTACATGGCTCCATTCACACACACACACACACACACACACACACACACACACACACACACACACACACACATACACACACACACACACACAGCCCAGGGAGGAAAGCAGAACCTGGATGGCTGACCGCAGTTGGAAACTATGCCAGAAACTTAAGCATTATCCTCTACACTGGGCATCCTTTCACGCCCCACATCCCATTGGTAATAAACACCACCCACACATGTCCTTTCCTTTCTGTCTCCACCATCCTTATCCTGGGTCAGGTCTCATCACTTCCAGAAATGCAACAGACAGAGGCAACAGCTTCTTTATTTCTGCTTCGATAATCCACTCCTATACGCCACTGGTATGAATAACCCTTTCAAATGTCATCAACTTTGCCAAAAACAAAACAAACACTTGCAATATTTCCATTACCAGCAGTTGAGGAAAGGTTTCCAATAGGAATGGGAACATATTCTTGCCGGAAAAATCCCAGCTCTTCCAAGGGTGGTAGGTATAAGAGATAATTAGCACATGGGGCTGGGAAGGTGGCTCAGAGGTAGAGCGCTTTCCTTGCATGCATGAGGCCCTGGGTTCGATTCCTCAGCACCACATAAGCAAAAAAGAAAAAAGCCGGAAGTGGCGCTGTGGCTCAAGTGGTAGAGTGTTAGCCTTGAGCTGACGAGCTGAGGAACAGTGCCCAGGCCCCCGAGTTAAGGCCCCATGATCAGACCCCCCCCCAAAAAAGAGATAACTAGCACCCCCACATTCAAATCCTGGTGTAGATTTTATTGCAGTCTTCCTGAGGTCTTAGAAGCCAGCTGATAATTTTAGTCTAGAGTTCTTATCCTTCCCTACAATCTTCTATCCCAAATCTTAGCAATCTAACTCAGATAACCAAAGTAATGGTTTCCCAAGTTCCATTATAACCTTGTCTGAGATTCCCTCTAGCTTAGGAAACTACCAAGATAGTCTCTCTGCTTGCCTGGGCACTCCTTCAGCTTCATAATTTTTACACTGTTTAGAGCTTCTCATCAGCACTTTCATTCCCATTCCCATTGCCCTTCCCCAGCACAGAGGATAGAGGTTCTATTATTTGCATTTTCTGAATACTCAGATTACTTCTTTCCCTTTATTGAAACCTTATAGTCCTCCAGGACACTGCTTCTCCCTTGTATCCTTCTTCCAGAAGGCTTCTCATTTTCCACACCCTACACAACACCAGGGGGTGATGGCATTGCCACTTCCACCTGTGTATAAAAATTCCTTCTCCTTTGTTTGCCAGCCATACTCTCCCATATCCCCACTACTGTGGACCAATAATTGCTCCTTTTTTTATTTGCCAGTCCTGGGGCTTGAATGCAGGGCCTGGGCACTATCCCTGAGCTGCTTTTGCTCAAGGCTAGCACTCTACCACTTGAGCCATAGCACCACTTCTAGCTGCTTCTGTTTATGTGGTATTGAGAAATGGAACCCAGGGTTTCATGCATGCTAGGCAAGCACTCTACCACTAAGCCACATTCCCAGCCCCTAATTGCTCCTTTTGCATTAAGGATTTCAACCCCTGGGTCATGGTCATCTTCACTAACCCCTGTCCTGTCATCCTCCTGGTACCTTCAGTAGCCATGGGGTTTCCTGGCTCTTCAGTCTTTGGTCCCCTCTTCACATGACCTTGGCCTCCCTCCTATAGTCACACTTGAAACTCATTTATTTATTTATTTATTTATTTTGTTGGTCATGGGGCTTGAACTCTGGGCCTAGTCGCTGTCCCTCAGCTCTTCAGCTCAAGGTTAGCACTCTACCACTTGAGCCACAGTGCCATTTTTGGTTTTCTGGTGGTTAATTGGAGGCAAGTTTCTCACAGACTTTCCTGCCAGAGCTAGCTTTGAACCCTGACCGTCAGATCTCAGCCTCCTAAGTAGCTAGGATTACAGATGTGAGTCACTGGCTGCTGACACACTTGAAACTCTTAATCCCCACTACTAGAACTTCTGTAATCTCAAAGTCAAACTTGCTATACTGAACAAGCCCTGGTTTTCTCATTTTAATATGGGTGAATTGGTTAATGGCTATCCATTCTTCCCAGGAATAATAAGATAACATATAAAACCATGATTGTAAAGTTTTGAAGGGATGAAAACAGATGGTACTGCTTTTAAGTGGCCTTGAGTCTTCTGAATGCTTTCCCCTTTAAAGAAGAAGGGGTAAGGGCTTGTGATCTGATCACACAGTCCTGGTTTTCAATTGGCATTTCATCACTTACTTGCTGTATGATCTTAGATCAATTACTTCTTTCTTTTCCTCTCCACCACATGAACCCCTTCCTTATTTGTAGGAAGAGCAATAACAAGAGCTACCTTCTAGAGTTGTTATAAAGATCAAATGAAAAAGTGGAAAGCACTTGATAGCATGCCAGGCACGTGGTAAGCATTCAATAAATACAAATCATGGTCATTATTATAATAGAAAATGCTACTTTCCATTACCTTGCTCATGTAACTGTAACCCCTCTGTACAGTATTTTCACAATAAAAACTTATTTTTTTAAAAAAAATGCTACTTTAAACCAAAATTGCCCTCTAAGAAGGACAGCTCCTGGGCTGGGAAGGTAGCTCAGTGGTAGAGCGCTTGCCTTGCATGCCTGAGGCCCTGGGTTCGATTCCTCAGTACCACATAAACAAACAAAAAAAAGGACAGCTCCTAATGCACAGAAGGTCCTTCTGCCCTGCTCAAGCCTTATTGAATGTAAAATGAATATGGAATGTGGGAAGGGGGAAGCACCAAATTGTTCTGTTTAAAATTTTTTAAAAAGAGGTTGAAAAGGTAGCTCAGTGGTAGAGGGCTTGCCTTGCATGCATGAGTTCTTGGGTTCGATTCCTCAGCACCACATAAGCAGAAAAAGCCCAAAGTGGCACTGTGGCTCAAATGGTAGAGGGCTAGCTAGCCTTGAGCTGAAGAGCTGAGGGACAGCGCCCAGGCCCAAAATTCAGGTCCCGTGACTGACCAAAATAAATAAATAAATAGGAAAAAGAAAAGAATTTGAAATTCACTTGGCAAAATGGGAGAAATAGTAAAGAGAGGAGATTCCAGGCAGCAATGGCTCAGACCTGTAATCCTAGCTACTCAGAAAGCTGAGATCTGGGGATCATGGTTCAAAGCCAGCCTGGGCAGAAAAGTCCATGAGACTCTCATCACCAACTAACCACCAGAAAACCAGAAGTGGCGCTATGGCTCAAGTTGTAGAGTGCTAGCCTTGAGCTTAAGAGTTGAGGGACAGTGCCCAGGACCAGAGTTCAGGTCCCATGACTGACAAAAAAAAAAAAAATGCACAGAACTTTGAAATTACAAATGTTATGCAATGTGAAAACTGAGGTTCAAGCCCATTACATTTAGCTATTAAGGAGGCAGAAAGTTATGTTTGACGTTTGGGTTATATCATTTGTGTTTCCCTATTTATTACTGGGTGATCATCACAGGGTAAAACAAACCAAATCAAATTATTTCACTGTCTTATAGTTCCAAAGTACCCAAGTGAAAATGTAAAGAAACACAAAATTCTATCTTTTGTCTTAAATCAGATGGATGCCAATGGCTCACATCTGGAATCCTAGTTACTCAGGAGGCTGAGATCTGAGGATTGTGGTTTGAAGCCAGCCCAGCCAGGAAAGTCCATGAAACTTTTGTTTTGTTTTGTTTTGTTTTTTGTTTGTTTGTTTGTTTGTTGTTGGTCATGGAGCCTGAACTCTGGGCCTGGGCACTGTCCCTCAGCTCTTCAGCTCAAGGCTAGCACTCTACCACTTGAGCCACAGCGCCACTTCTAGCTTTTATGATTAGTGGTGTTGAGGGATCGAACCCAGGGCCTCATGTATGCAAGGCAAGCACTCTACCACTGAGCCACCTTCCCAGCCCTTTTATCTCCAACTAAGCATCAAAAAAGCTGAAAGCACTAATATTAAGCAAAAAAAAACAAACACAGCTCAGGGACAGCACCCAGGGACAGGAAAGGGAAAGAAAGGAAGGAAAGAAGGAAGGAAGGAAGGAGGAAAATAAGGGGGAAAAGGAACTAATGGGAGGTCATTAGATCACTGGGGCCTCTGACCCCTTCCTCTCTCTGGTTACTGTTCAAGAAGTAAGTGGTTTTGCTATACCACACTCTCCTGCTATAATATATGGAATGAGGCCAATTGACCATGGATCACAACCTTCAAAACTGATAAGCTAAAATATCTTTATAATTTAGTTATCTCAAGTATTTGTTCTGATAATAAAAAACTGATTAATATAGACCTACTAATACATAGGGTTGTCTCTGACTCCCAAAGAGTTCAGTCTCTAGTATTGTATACAAAGCTACAAGATCACAACTCTGAGCTCCAAAAAAGCCAAGTTCATACTCCTACCTAATACATTACTTCCTGGGCCATTCTTTGAGGGCATTCAGGGATATTTTTAAAAATAAATAGGTACATTAATATTTACAATATTTTTCATATCCACCATCATATAGCTTTCACAAAAAAAAACCTGTGAAGCATGGGCTGAATCATGGCATCTTAGATGTGAGCAAGTAATAACTTCTCTGGTTGCTTAGCTATTGTAAACATAGACATCTAAGACTTAAATCATCCATATTGATGTATTTGG